ATAGCACTCGCTTTATGATTTTTCCCTATAGCGATTATGATTTTTCCCTCCTCGCAATAATGATTTGTGTTCGTGCTCTATGAAGAAGTTTTTGCCATTGGCAAGTTAATACTGTTAATTTAATCGAAATAACTAAAAATAATTATAACTAATATAATAATTAGTTATATATAACTAATATAACTAATAATTATAACTAACATAATAATTAGTTATATATAACTAATAACTAATAACTAAGTATATATAACTAATATAACTAATAACTAAATAATTATAACTAATATAATAATTAGTTATATATAATTAATATAATATAACTAATATAATTAAAATATAAAAATAATTAAATAATATAAAATATAAAATATAAAATAATATTTTTATATAATATAAAATAATTAAATAATTATAACTAATATAATAATTAGTTATATATAACTAATATAACTAATATAACTAATAACTAATAACTAAATATAATTATAACTAATAACTAAAAATAATTATGACTAATAATTATAACTAATAACTAAATATAATTATAACTAATATAACTAATAACTAATAACTAAATATAATTATAACTAATATAACTAATAACTAATATAAATAATTATAACTAATATAATAATTAGTTATATATAACTAATATAACTAATAACTAATAACTAATAACTAAAAATAATTATAACTAATATAAAAATTATACATTATATAAAATTATATAAAAAAATATATTATAACTAAAATAAAAATAAAATGACTAAAAATAATTATGGAATCGTGATAATAGATTTTTTTTACGTAGAAAATACAAATAAGATAATAAATTAACTTTCACAGGGATTAAGAGTATTACAACATCTCACTGATTGTGACCACGAACTGAAAACATTTAAGAAATCACGTACGTTTGTCGTTTACAGTTCGACGATTTGTTAAAAGACTGTCAAAAGATCTATTTTCGTAGCGAACGTTACCACACGAAGGGAAAAGAAATATATTATATATATATATTGTACAAAAATCTGGTCAAATCCCTCGTCTCGTGTTCCAAAAACATTGAATGGAAACGTAAACGGAGAAAGATTGATGGACTTTTTATTTATTTAATAGGAGTTTAAAGCTAGAAACTTGTGGCACAAAGTTACAATTTAGGTTCTCAAGAGTTCGAGTTGTTCTTCCGCGTTTCACCTCGTTGCCACATATTAACGCTGCTCGGAACGTACTTATTACCAAATGCAGCTTACGCGAAATTCTCTAATTGCGAAGTGGTGACGTAACCAGAATGCGCAGAGCATTAGAGAGAATGATGTTTCATTTTTCAAAAGGTACACATGACAAACGAAACAAATGCTTTTAATAAAAAAAATAATACGTCAAGCGTGTTGATCTCTTTATTTTTATTATTGTTATTAAAGGAAAGCATAAGTTCGTCGTTTCGGAATTCGCTCGATTTGGCACGTAATCGAAATATGTATATATATATCGAAAGAGACGTACAAACGAAAGACGTTTCATTTCACAATTCGACAATTTCGACGCGTGTTTAGTGCGGTGTATTCGCTCGCAACGAAATCAACGGAGCAGGTGATGACTATGCGATCATTCAGAAACGAAAGGCAGGGATAATGAAATCTCAGGAACGCTAGTTCGAAGTCACTTCTTCCAGCTGGTTACGTTGCGGCTACTATTCGGCGAAGACTCAACGAATCAGTTTACTTATTTAATGACTTGTTAGACGCGATCAATATCTCAGCAGTCACAATGACCTACATTTGACTGACAATGCACCAAAAAAGCTGTCAATGATTGAATGCAGTGAAAACGATTCCGCATTCTATATACTGTGTGTGTATACGTATACGTATGTATATCTCTCAGTTAATACATACATGTAATATATTTATATATTTGTATATATCATAAAATTCACACTTATGAAAAAGACATATCGCGTGTGTGTGTGTATGTATATATATATATATATTTTTTTTTTTCAATTAGATAGATTAACAGCCGTGGCCGGACCAGCCTGGTCACGCGGCAGAAACGTCTTCTTAAATTGTTTCTTTCTATCAACTTCTCTTTTCTTTTTCTCTTTGTTTTCCATTTTTCTTTGACTTCGAATCACATCCCGTACAAAAAAATGCAGCATTGTGTGTGTGTGTGTGTGTGTGTGTGTGTGTGTGTGTGTCTATGTATATCATAGTTGTCGAGAGTAACTGCGTACGGTTCGACCCGATAACAATTGTAGCTCTGAACTTTCGATCGAGAATGTTTCTTACTAATTAACAATTAGCTAGTCAGACATTCTGGACAATTGCGCAACAATTAATGTAAATTTGATCATTCGTCGCATACTTTTACAACAGAAGAGAGCGAAATTACGCGGCCGCAGATGATATAATATTTCTGTCATAAAAATCTATCTCTCGCCTGACACGTGAGAATACATTTTCATACGCAGGCATACATGTAGCTGTATATTCGTAGTTGCGTGCCGTTTTTTAATATATATCGCGCGCACATATTTTTTAATATGTAACAGCTACTGAAGAACCACGGATATGTACAACAGAGATATGCCCGATGGATACAAGGTACACACTCTCTCTCTCTTTCTTTCGCAAGCACGCTCTGAGTCCTTCGTTTCTGTCTCTCCTCGAATTCGATTCGATGAAAAATGGGGGATAATCGAGTCGATCATCTCAATTTACATTGTATCCCTATCGATTTAACAATCCAAGTAGAACAACCCAAAGTATTCACGACCGACGCGTTGTCCTTTCTCGAGTTTGTGTTGCCGCGAAACGATGCTGCGATATTCTGCGTTATTACAGGGCCAAAAATCACCTTCCTACTAAAATCTGTAATTCTTTTATTATATATATATATATATATATATATATATATATATATATATATAT